GGGGATTGAATCTAAATCACAAGTACTCTGAAAAAGTGTGCTGGGATGCTGACTACTTGCTATACTGTACCGTACTGTACTTTGTGATTCGGCTTCGAGCTGTGCTGGGGGAGTTGGATCCAAAGGTCTGGTTAAAGTGATGGTCAGAGGAACTCCTCATGTGGCCCATGGTGGCTGTCCCTGACATGCTGCTACTCAGGCCCCCACCTCCACCCAGGTTACTCAGCCCAATGGTGCCACCACTGACTCCAGCTCCACTCAGGCCCCCGCCACTGACACCCATGCTGGTGCCAACCAAGCCACTACCGCCTATGCCACTGCCTCCACTTATCCCAGCTGTGCCACCAATTCCACTTATGCCAGTGCCAGAGACAACTCTCTCTGTCACAATCACATTGTGGGCATTTGATAACTCAGGGTGCATACTCAGACTGCCCATCATGCTGGAAGTTGGCTGGATTACTCGTTCTGTGACTACCACATTTGAAGACTCTCTAGAATTAGGGATAGTCAGAGAGGTAGGTAGACTCGAACTTGGTGCTATTACCCTTTCTGTCACTATAATGTTTGACCCATCCCTCAAGTCAGGCATCTCTAACATTCCATGCAAACCAGCACCAGAGATTGGGCCGACCACCCTCTCTGTCACCACCACGTTTGATGCATGTCGGTTATCATGAACATGGACAGAGGGCTTCAGAGTGCCAGAGGTGGTGTAAGACTCGGTCACAGTGACATTACCATAGCCCAGAGGATCAGGAATAGGCACAGGATGCTGTACACTAGGTCCCGAGGGATAGGTGCTTTCAGAAATTACTGTGGTAGTGCCAAAATGTGGGGAGATTGGTGGGTGTCCACTACCCAGAGGCTCTGTTCCCTGCTGGGGGTAAATAGGTTCAGTGCTCTGAGGTGGCCAAGCAAGATCAGGCTCTGGATATGATTCAATTTCTTTCCCCAGGCTGATATCTGCCAACTTCTTAAATTTAGGCCCCAGTGTATCCAAGAAGCTGTCATCCAAATCTTCTCCAATGAAGCTACAACAACCCACGGAGCCAGCGGGGGAACCTACACCTTCAATATCATATATGAGCAAACAGTCATTGGACGGGCGTCCTTCGTCTTCATCTGCATAAGCAAATGCTTTCTGAATTTGTGGAGAAAAGAGAAAATAAAACTGTGAGTACATATTTAACAATAATAGTACAGTCTTTGCTATTATTTTTTTCTTTCAGAGCACTACCAAAGAAGGCTATATAAAACAAAATGCTAACATCTACTATAGCTGCTTTAAGATTTAAATAATTAGGTTAGAAATGATTTTAACTATAATGCCAATAATACATTAGGGTTTTAAAATTTTTCTTACATGGACTCATTTATCATGGTGCACTCTGGACACAAATCACAAAATTATTACATGAATTATTTTATAACTGAGTTAGAAGGAGGTACATAAAAATGCTGAATTTGAAGTATACAAAAATGTGTATTTGTTGGTTTAAGAATGGTAGTTCATAATTGATTTGGGCTCTTTCAGTATTGTGTTTTCTTTCTTTCAGATGCAGTGAATGTGACGGTCTGTGAAAGTTGGTTGCTATGTGGTTTTTCGGCACAGCAATGGGAAAATTTGACTGTGGATCTAAGCGTCTTTTGGATTCAAAACTGAAAGTGACCGAAGATAATTTTAAAACATAGAATCTCTCTAAATTCAAAGAGAAAGCCCACAGATGTGCACTTTTATTTCATCTTTGCTGTTCATAATACTGGATTGCAAATTTTCAGGTGAAATATCAGAAATACCTTATGAGAAACCAACTCATTGTACCATTTTGTTAAAAAATTATCTAGTTGAGTACTTGCTATTTGCCAGACACACTGTTAGAAACTTGGTTTTGCAGTAATGAACAATACCAGATAAAGTCCTTCTCTTGCAGGGCTTAAGTTTCAGTAGGGTTACGCAGGCAATGCATACACATATGTCAGGAGGTGGTAGGTGCAGGGTAAAGGGATAGAAAGTGATGGAGGTTGTTCTCTTAGGTTCGTAGTCAGGGGACATCTCTGATAAAGTATGTTTGATCAGAGATTGGAATGAAGTGACAGAACAAGTGAAGTGGACAGGGTATTCCGGGCAGGAAGAAGCTGTTATGTGCAAAAGTTTGGAGGCAGAATTTTACTTTTCATGAAAATAATATTCATATGTAGGTACATGGATAGGGAGTATTCCTGTAGATTGCAGCAACAAGCTTCATTATTATCTATTGCTATTTGAAAGGCTTTTGCTAATATTTTATTTAAAAACATCAGTGACCTTCTAAACCATTAGGGGAATTAATGAAGGTATTTTAGGCCAGAATGTAGAAGGACAGAAATGTATTTCCAGTAAGGAACTTCCTGAAGGTGGAATATCATATGGTGTTTAACCGCATGCAGTTGTGTTTCTGCCTAGGGATGACAAAGTTAATTCTCCTTCTGCTGCTTCTCCAGGCTTCACATTCTTTTCATCATCTGCATCTGGTTCATAGAAGGTTCTGGAAGGGTACTATGGCTCTTGAACCCACTCTTATTGTACATTTACGATGTGCCTGGAACTATGCCAGGTACTGGCTGTATAGTGTAGAACATATGGATGAGACACTAAAAGTGTGGCACACATATAAACTAACAGATTTTAGCAATGATACGTTTTAAAAATGTTATAAACAAAGTACTATGGAAATACACATGTAGAAACATTAATCCTATTTTGGATGACAGTAAACTATAAAAACTTTAGAGAGGCAGTGCTAATTGGACTGGGTCTTGAAAGATGGGTAGGGGTTTGTGAAAGCTGTGACGGGATAAAAGTGTTGCAGGAGGGGCACAGTGTGAGCATGACATGGAGGTGGGTGGTCTGCTGTGAATAAGGCAGAGGTAAGGTCAATTGGAGATGCAGGGTAGGGATCATTCTGTGAACATTTTAATTGCCATATTAGGAGTTTGGACTTCATGCCATGGACAAAATAGAGCTGGAAGCTATTAGCCATGTTTAAGAGGGGGAGTCAAGGGCTCAGGTCACGGCTTTAGAAATATTATTCAGCAGCAATATGGACTGTTGTGCATGAAGATTAGAGGATGAGGACCTAGTTAAGAGACTCCTGCCAGAGCCCTGCTGGGAATTAGTGAAAGCCTGGAGTAGAGCAGTGTGCCCAGGGATGGCAAGGAAGGCACGTGGTTAGAGACCTTACCTGGCAGAAGTAACTTTCCATGAAATTCATATTCAGAGCTCCTTCTCTGCATTCCCTCATAGAATTTCTTCTTAATGTTCCAGAATATTCTTGACATATCTCAGGCACTCCTGACGTTTTAACACCTTCTGCTAGTTCAAATCCTGTTGTTCTTTCTCCTCCTCCCAGATCTTGCATTTCTCTGCCACCATACTCATTTGTATAAACTCCTAAAAGTGTTGATCAAATTAAATTTACTTTCTATAGTGTATTGTAAACTAAAAATGAACAACTTGGTGCAATGTATGGTTTCTTCATTTAAGTATGCATTTGTGAACAAAGAAATAAAAAGAAGACAATATATAAAGAAAGGAGATACAAATATGATATTGAGTTTAAAATAATATTAACCAATTTGTTAATTTGATAATTATCTGTTCAGAGACTACTATACGCTGGGCTGGAAGTGTGGGCTGCATAGAAGTTACAAAAACCTATGACCTAGAGAGTTTGATTTCAAATTGAGGGAAATTGGGGAGAAATACTCAAATTCTAAAAGTTAAAAAACAGTATAAGAGTACCCCAATGTATTATAAGAAGCACAGGTCATCCAGAAGCAAGGCTTGAGAAAAGCTCGCTTATGGAGAAGAATCCACGGCTATGGTAAGGAGAAAGGTTTTCATAGAGAATCTTGGCTGTAAAAGCCTGTTATAATATTTGAGGTAGGTGAGATAAAATGATGGCCTGGACTCAGAACTGCCACGGAAGGGAGAATGTTCACAATGCAGTAGATGTCCCATGGCTTTAATATTCAAAAGATCTTGAGTCTGGGGACAGTATGTTTTTCATACTTCAGTTACCCTGACACCTCTCATGGTGCTTTGTTCAAAATTTGTGCAAAGGTTAGTAGACTCAATGAGGAAGTAAATGCATGGATAAATGCTGTTGGGTTTGATGAGTTGACAAGTCCTGAGAACTGATTAGGTGTCAATGAAAAGGGAGAGTTGAGTGGGCAATGAGTTTCTGCTTTTGAGGTGGAGTGATGTTGGTGTTACTAACAAAAATGGGCAAATCAGGAGGAAAAGTAGGTTTACAGACTAGTGTGGCCAGTTCTTTGGATAAGGTGCAGTTTGCAGTTTATAAGTTATAAGATTCTTATGCCTGTTACATTTTAAAGAGTTCAAAGTGGAAAAATAATGGTCACTGTCTGAAAAAGACTAAGGGAAAAATAAGTTAATCAATAACATTTATTTACTTTGAAATCTATTTTCATAGATATAAGAAGTTATTTTAATTGTTCTTTTTATTAAAGTAGTAATTGTCCACTTACTGTGAAATTCTAATTGTTCTCTGCTTTCTGCCTGTAAACTGGTCTAGACTCCTGTTTTAAGACAAGTTACATTTATACAGTATTATGCATGCACAAGGAGAAACTCCATCACATGCATACAACCTCAGCCGAGAGCTTTGAAAAAATTTGGCAGTGTTTCATGTATTTACTTTCAATTTAAGAAACCGGACAAATTTTTTTAGGTAGCATTTATGCTGATGTTAATAATGAATGTAGCTTTTTTTTTTCATTGTCATAATAAGCAGCTAAAGTCAGAGCAATCTTGAATCATAAAAAATTGTGGGGGAAGATTTTAACCTCACTAAATGATCACAGATTATTTTATTGGGCTGTGCTTTAATTTTAATTAGTATATGTGTGAATCTATCTATCTATATGTGTCATGTATATGTTTGTGTTTTGGAGAGGGTAAATGACATTTTCTCTATTAGATAAAAGTTCTCGACCAGAATTGACTCATGGTTACAATTCAGCACTTCTGTTTTTAGAGATCCTACTTAGGTCATCTCCTAAGTACTCTCTGATGATTGAGGAAGATTTAACAAATACAGCATATAAGAATAATAATTACAGTAGGGTTTTCCTTACCATTTAATTTACAAATTAGTCATTTAAAAAGGAATGATATAAACACTTTTAAAGACAAATAAGATCATCAAAAAACAGTATGCAAAGAGAGAAAACAGAGTCCCTTCTTAGACACTAGAGTTGTTAATTTTTTTTTTTCTTACCTGAGGTGTCCATGCATTCAATTATATTTGCATTATCAGCTGGTATCTGCGGTACACAGATAGTGGCCAAATCCTACAAGACAGAAAGCAACATTTTCCCATTTGTAATGACTTTTCTTTCTAGAGTTACACACTTGGTTTATTCTCAAATTACCTCAGATTTCCTAAAAGAATACTATTTAGGAAACTTTTGAAATTCTTTTAAAACCGAACCCCTCGGGGCCGGCCTGGTGGCGCACTGCTACAGTGCGCCGCTTGGGAGCGTGGCGGTGCTCCCGCCGAGGGTTCGGATCCCACATACAGACCAGCCGCTCACTGGCTGAGTGAGGTGCGGGCGCGACACTGAGGGTTGTGATCCCGTTGCCAGTCCCGGTCCGGTACGGGCGCAACACTGAGGGTTGCGATCCGTTGCTGGTCACGAAAAAAGACAAAAAGGAAAAGGAAAAAAAAAAAAATAAAAAAAATAAAACCTGAACCTCATTTAAAAAGCCTTCCCTGATTACTTCCATCTAATTTTGATGTGCTCTTGATGCCTCTTCATTGTCCCCATTAACTATCCCAGAACAAAGACTAGCGTAGGCTGTGAGTGATCGCCAGCAGCTTGGTTCACCAAAGGCCATTTCTCACAGATCAGCACTCACCCTGGGTTCAGACTGTGGTCCTTCTATTGCCCATGATTGAATTGCTCCATCTGAACATTCAGGAACAGGCTCAAAGCCGGCTCCACCGCCAGGGGCACCTCCGCACTCACAACAGATCAACAAAAATGGGACCACTGGTGGTAGAAGGATAGGAATACTGGAGTTAGCTGTGAGCCCGTATTAAAACAAAACTACTTGCTTTTTTATGGTTAAATTTGAATTTATAATGTAACTCTAAGTATATGCATGTATTGAAGCAACACACTGTGCCCCATAAATATGTACAAGTAAATGTTCAAATTAAAAAAATACATATATGTATAACTCCATTTGATTCTAAAATTATTAGGGAAGTTTCAAAAAACTAACGAAATATGTTCAGACACCAAAATAAATGCGAGTTTTAGTATAGTAGACTGCAATCAATTTTAATTTGTTTTGTATTCTTAAAATTACAAATAGTATTCAACTATTAAAACTGATGAGTATTTCCATGTAATTACTCAGGAAAATATTAAAGGAGAGAAGGAAAACTGGAGAGGTCAGGCAATATGTTTGAGTCTTTGTGTTTTCTCTTCCATGTGTTTATTTTCCTCCTCTCACACGTGCTTGCCTTTTTTTCAACAGCAAAATCGTATTCATACTTGCAGCAATTATCCTGTCTGAGGCTATTATTTTCCCCTACTCAGATATCTTTTCTTTAAATTGCTCTTACACAAATAGAGAACATCACCCTGCTTAACAATGTCTTTTGCTGTTAGTCAATTAGAGTTTTCTGAGTCATCTATTTATTATTATTCTTTTATATTATATAATCTGATAAATGGTTTTGAATAAAAAAATGAATGTAAGAAGGGCTATGTAAATAAAAAGTGGGAGAGAGGAAGAAAGGGAAAAAGAAGGAAGTAAGGTAGGGAAGGAAGGTGGTAAGGATAGAAATAAGGGAGACAGGGGGAAAAGGAAAAAGGAGGAAAAGGAGGAAAAGAATCCCATGTGTCCTGCTTTTTTGAATATCTGCTAGGCTGAGAGAAAACTTTGAATCCAGAGGTATTGACTATAAGACCGAAATATCATTTTTAAATCTGTTATTAACTACACTACCCAAAGGTAGTCACCAGTATACAAAACAAACTCAAAATAAAAGTTAGGTATTTATAGTAGTGAAATCAGCACCTGAGCAATTAGGTTACTCTTATAAAATATTACATTTTAAAGTTTTATAATATTGGTTGATAATCAATACAGTTAAACAATTAGAGAATTATCTTTTCTCATATATATTTTATGTTCTAGTCTTCAAATTTGCTGGTGTTTTTGCATTTTTCTCGCCTCGGTTAATTCTGATGAGAATGCTTTCTTTTTTTAAAACTTATTCCTCCTTTCACAGAACTTTTCCTGGCTATTACTTCAATTTATTTTAAGCCAATAAGAACGAACACCTATTACTTAATGCAGACATTTTATTTTTTTGAAATATATTTTAAATCATGGAAAAAAGAGTCTCAACTTTAAGTTGTGTTATCAGTGTGTCCAGACTATTTGTAGTTTATATAAATTCAATGGTGATTAAAAAGTTAAAAAGGTGAGCTGTTTAAAATCAGAGAAAATCCAGTTTACAAATAAATTTATTGAATAATAATCTACTTATGGCTGTACATGCATTAAGAGAAATGAAGGTAGAAAAAATATTTCATATGTAAGTGCCCTGACCACATTTTTAATGTATGTTTTAATTAAATATCTGAAGTATCTTCTGCCACTAAGAATTTATGATTCTACACTTGAAAATGGCAATGCCTCATATAATTTGATTATCCACCTTAATTTCTATCATCATCCAAGGCAATATTAAGACCACCTGGAGAATTTACTGGATTCTATTCAAATGGCTACATCCTTGATTAGGGCTAGTTTTGTGGCCTAGAATGTGCTAAATGCCTCATGTGTGGTATTTCTTTTTCATGATCAAATCAATATTGTGAAGTAAGTTTTATTGTTTCACAGATGACAAAAGTGAGACTCAGAAAGGTTAGGTAACCTTTGAAAGATTCAGACAATTAGGTTTAGAAAGGGGAGTTCAACCGGTAACTAGGTCTATTTGACTCTCTTTTGCTTAAGCTCTGCAGCCTTTGCATAGCATAAAATCTATGAGTCACATGCTAGTCTCAGCTCTCACTACACTGTCATGCACATCCTTTATTTCTTCCACACTGGTGTCCTTTATTTCAGTACCTTGCACTCATTCTTTTCGGTTACTGCACATAGATTTTTTTTCTCCTTGTATTGTGGTCTCTTTCTCTTGTTCACCAGGCTAATTCCTATTCAATTGTTAAAACACAGCTCAGAGATTACTTTCTCTATGTAGTCTTTCCTGATTGTTTCATTAAATTATTTCTGATTGTCTTCTTCACTCAAATAGCAATTTGAGCATGCTTGTTATGACACTTCCCCATTACATAAAGACTGACTGCAAACAAGTTTTTATCCTCCACTGTACTATAAGGAGTCAAGATGTTTGATTTTTTTTCATCTTATAAACCAAGCACTCAGCATAGAAATTTCTTGATAATTGTGCAAAATAAGAATTTGTAAAATGTATTTTATCAAAGAAACAGAAAACTCATCTCCTCTACCATTTTTTCTTTGAGCAAGGGGACATATATATATTACATATAAATATCATATTATACTATGAATATTATATTATATGTAAACATATACATACATATATTAAATATATCATATATAAACATTATATATAATATGTATAAATAGGATTGTTAAAATACTTACATAATAAGACCAAAAATCCCATGATGAGTAGTCCAATGCCAGCAGGACCAAAGTGTACATTATCTGAGAGAAGTGCCTCAGGATTACCACCTCCTACAGTTGTTTCTTCAGAAGGGGATACCGTGTTGACATTTTTGTCTCCACCATTGGAAGAATTATCTGTGATGGTGATGGTGCCACCTCCACTTTGTCCATTGGATGTGCTAGTATCTGTACTAGGACCTGTACCACTGCTTGTACTAGTCTCACTTCCATTTACCCAGCCAGAACCATCAAGGTCAATAATAACTGTACCGGTGCAAGTTCTCTGAAGAGCATCTGTAACAAGGTTCAAAATGGAAGAAATATTTTATACATTTAGTGTAGTAATTGTTGAACAACATGGAACTATTTTCTTTTTGCATCAATACTTATTTCAATGTCTTTACTCCCATTTGTCTGTGACTCAGTTTTTAAATCAATTAAATTATTTTATATTTTTGTTATTAATGTTACTATTATTACTACTAGTAATACTATTTACTAAATTATTTCTTTACATGATAACTAAATATTATATGTAATTTGAAAAGTACAGAATTATAGAAAGAAGCCAAATAAAAACAAAAAACAAACCCTAGTAGCAGTTCCCAAGGACAACCTCTGTTGATATTTTTTTGATGATCTTTTATCCTTAATTATAATGTCTAAGGGCTGCTTATTATTTATGTTACATTTATATAATCATGTGGTTCATTTCATTTTATATCTTTTACTTTAAACTATAGGCATTCTTTCATGTTTTAATAAATTTTTTGATTAAATAGTTTTTGATGGCTACATAATTTTATATCAAGTGGACCATGGTGTACCTACCCAGTTACCTATTACTGATATTGCTTTCAATATTTAATTATTAAAGAGTTCTGTAATTAACATCTGTGTGCATTCAGTTTTTATATTTAGGACTTTTTCTAAATTATCAAAAGTGGAATTATTGGATAAAAATAGAGGAATAATTTGTTTGAGGTTATTTTTGTTATGTCTATTATATAGATGTGAGTTCATTTGTCTGACTTTATTCATTGATGTGACCCTAGAACCTGGCACAATGGCTGACATTTAGTTAGTATTCAACATGTAATTTTTGAATAAATGAATAAAAACATCTCTGGAAGTATGTAACAGAGATAGGTTTAAATCCAATCTATTTGATATCAGGCCTATGTCAGCTAAAACTATGCTAATTCTATTATTGTTTTTGTTGTTATTTTTATTATTATCATGTCCTTCTAAATTCTTATTGTTAATGTCCCATTTTACAGAAGAGAAGACTGGGACCCTGCAGCATGCTACATCTGATGGGGGAGGCACCAAGGCAGGCAAGAGAACAGGCCAGCCACCTGCCAGAACCATGCCCCACTATGCAGAAGGTAGGACACCAGGATGTACTGCCACTGATGGGGGAGGCACCCAGACAGGCAGGAGAACAGTTCAGCCCCTTGCCAGACCCCTGTCCTGCCCAAGCAGAAGGCAGGATTTCACACTGTGCCACCACCATGAGTGGCTTCACAAGCCTCCATGGAAGTGGTCCACAACAGTCACCACCACTGCTAATACTGTTGCGAGGAAGGCTTACTGCCTTAATAACGTCCATGACTGCTGTGCAGGTAACCCACTATATATTTGACTCTATTGATACATGGAGAGTCACTGGATGAACCTGGAAAAGAGGAAGGAGTCTTTCTGCTCAAAGTCCATTCCAGAGTAATAGAAGAAGCAACTGATCTACCAGATGACCAAAAATCAACATAGAGATATTAGAAATATGAAAAAATCAGAAAATATGACACCACCTAAAGAATTCAGTAACTCTCAAGTACCAGACCTTAAAGAACAGGAAACCCTAGAAATAACTGAAAAGGAATCTGAGTGACTATCTTAAGAAAACTCAATGAGATAAAAGAGGACTCTGTAAGACAACACAGTAAAATGAGAAAAAATATCCAGGATATGAAGGATGAAATTTACAAAGAGATTAATACCTCAAAAAATGATATAGCAGAACTCCTGGAACCAAAAGATGCATTCAATGAAATAAAAAACACAATCAAGAGCTTAAGCAGCAGACTAGAACAAGCTGAAGAAAGAATATCCAAACTCAACAATGGCCTTTATGAAATAACTCAGGCAGATAAGAAAAAGGAAAAAAAGAATTTAAAAAAAATGAAGAATCTGTAAGAGAGCTAGCAGACAACCATAAGCGCACAGACATCCAAATCATGGGTGTCCCTGAAGGGGAGGAGAAAAGTAAAGGCATTGAAAATCTATTCAATGAAATAGTAATTGAAACTTCCCAGGTATAGGGAGAGACACAGACATTCAGATCCAGGAAGGTCAAAGATCCCAAGTTTCAATCCAAAAATATCCTATTTGAGACACAAAGGTCAAAGACAAAGAGAGAATGCTAAAAGCAGCAAGAGAAAAGTGTCCAGTCACTTATAAGGGAGCCCTCATCGGACTAACAGCAGACTTCTCAACTGTAACTCTATAAGCAAGAAGAAAATGGGATGACATATTCAAAATACTAAAAGAAAAACCTGCCAGCCAAGAATCCTATACCCAGCAAGATTATCCTTCAGAAATGAGGGAGAAATAGTGTATTTCCCAAACAAACAAAAACTGCAGGAGTTCATCACCACACAACTAGTCCTGCAAGAAATTCTCAAGGGAGTCCTGCATCTGATATCTGAAAAACAATAATCACTATCACGAATACACAAGTAAGAACAAAACCCAGCAGTAAAACACAAATGCAAATGAGAAAGACAGAAGAAACTAAATCTTAGCACCCCGCCCCCCACAAAACTGAAAGACCAACAATCAAGGGAGAAGTAAGGAACAAATGATACTCAAAACATCTAAACAAAAAACCACAAAATGCCAGGAATAAGATAATAACTCTCAGTAACAATTCTAAATGTAAATTAATTAAACTCCTCACTCAAAAGACACAGCATGATGGATTGAATCAAAAAGCAAGACCCAACTATATGCTGTCATCAACAGACTCTTCTCACCAATAAAGATGCACACAAACTAATAGTGAAGGGATGCAAAAGATATACCACACAAATGGAAACAAAAAATAACCTGGAGTAGCTCTATTCATATACTGTATAAAATAGACTTTAAACCAAAAATCATACAGAGAGACAAAGAAGGCCACTACATAATGATAAAAGGATCGATCAAGCGAGAAGACATAACAATCATAAATCTACACGCACCCAACACTAGAACACCCAGATATATAAAGAAAACACTATTAGAACTAAAAAAAGAGATAGACCCCAATATGATAATAGTGAGGGACATAACCTCCCCTTCTCATCATTGGACAGATAATCCAGGCAACAAATCAACAGAGAAAACATAGGATTTAAATTATACTTTAGACCAATTGGACCAGAACATTTCATCCAATGACTATAGAAAATAAATCTTTCTCATCAGTGCATGGACCTTTCTCCAAGACAGACCATATGTTAGGTCACAAATCAAGTCTTAACAAATTTTAAAAAATCAAAATCATTTCAAGTATCTTTTCAGACCACTGTGGATTAAAACTAGAAATCAATAACAAGCAAAACTCTGGAAACTAAATGAATATATAGAAATTAAACAACATGCTCCTGTGAAAGACTCAATGGTTAAAGTAGAAATTAAACAGAAAATCAAAATATTTCTTGAAACTAATGAAAATAAGACACATCATTACCAAACTGTGGGATACTGCAAAATCAGTAGTAAGAGGGAAGTTTATTGCAATAAAACTTACATCAAAAGAATAGAAAGATTTCAAATAAACGATCTAATGCTACACATCAAAGAACTAGAAAAATAAGAACAATACAATTCCAAATTAGTAAATGGAAAGAGATAATTAAGATCAGAGTAGAACTAAAAGAAAGAGAACCAAAAAAGATACACAGATCAATGAAGCGAAAAGTTGTATTTTTAAGAAGATAAACAAAACAGATAAACCATTAGCTAGGCTAACAAAAAAAGAAGAGAAAAGACCCAAACAACAAAAATCAGAAATGATAAAGGAGACATTACAACCAATATCACAGAAATAAGAGAATCAATAGACTATTATAAATAACAATACACCAACAGGTTTGAAATCCCAGAGGAAATGGATAAATTCTGGACACCTATAAACTACCAAGATTGAACAAAGAAGAAATACAAAACCTGAAAAGACCAATAATAAGCAACAAGATTGAAGCAGTAATCAGCAGTTTTTCAACAAAGAAAAGCCAAGGACTGGATGTCTCCACTGCTGAATTCTACCAAATCTTTAAGGAGGAATGAATAACAATTATCTTCAAATGGTGGCACAATACTGAAACAGAGGCCATTCTCCCAAACTCATTCTATGAGGCCAGCATCACCCTAATACTCAAATCAAACAAAGATACAACAAAAAAAGAAAACTACAGCCCAATATCTCTGATAAACATAGATGCAAAAATCCTCAACAATATATTAGTAAACAGAATACAGCAACACATCAAAAAAATTATACACCATGATCAAGTAGGATCCATCCCAGGGATGCAAGGATGGTTCAACATATGTAAGTCAATGAATGAGATACACCACATCAACAAAATCAAGGACAAAAACCATATGATTATCTCAATAGATGCTGAGAAAGCATTTGACAAAATTCAATATCTCTTCATGATAATGACTCTCAGCAAATTAGGTGTAGAAGGAAAATACCTCAACACAATAAAAGCCATATATGACAAACCCATTGCCAATATTATGCTGAATGAGGAAAAACTGAAGGCTTTTCCCTTAAGAACAGGAATAAAACAAGGATGCCCACTCTCACCACTCCTATTTAACATATTTCTGGAAGTATTAGCCAGAGCAATCAGGCAATAGAAAGAAATAAAGAGCACCTAGATTGGAAAAGATGAAGTCGAACTGTTCCTACTTGCAGATGACATGATTCTATATGTAGAAAAACGTAAAGACTCTATCAAAAAACTCTTAGAGCTGGCTAATAATTTCAGTAATGTTGCAGGATACAAAATCAACACCCCCAAATCAGTGTATTTATATTCTCCAGTAATGAGCTAACAGAAAGAGAAATCAAGAAAGTAAGCCCATTTGCAATAGTTACACACACACACACAAAACAACAACAACAACAACAACAACAACAAAGAATCAATTTAACCAAGGAGGTAAAAGATCTGAACAATGAGAACTGCAAATCACTACTGAAGGAAATTAAAGAAGACACAACAATATGGAAAGACATTCCATGCTCTTGGTTTGAAAGAATAAACATTGTGAAAATGTTCATACCACCCAAAGCAATCTATAGATTCAGTGCAATTTCCATTAAAATACCAGTGACATTCTTCACAGAAGTAGAAAAAAAATTCTAACACTCATATGTAACAACAAAAGACTATGAATAGCCAAAGCAATCCTTAGCAAAAAAATAAATAAGTAAAGTTGGAGGCATAACACTACCTGACTATAGTACAAAGCTATTATAACCCAAACAGCATGGTACTGGCATAAAAATAGACACTCAGACCAGTGGAACAGAATAGACAACCCAGAAATCAACCCACAGACTTACAGTCAATTGATATTTGACAAAGGTAACAAAAACATACATTGGGGAAAAGACTGCCTCCTCAATAAGTGGTGCTGGGAAAATTGGATATCCATATGCAGAAGAATAAAACTTGACATGCACCTCTCCCCATATACCAAAATCAACTCAAAATGGATTAAGGACTTAAGTATAAGACCTGAAACTGTAACACCCCTAAGGGAAAACACCGTGGAAACACTTCAGGAACTAGGAGTAAGCACAGACTTTATGAACAAGAGCCCAAAAGCATGAGCAATGAAAGAAAAAATAAACAAATGGGACTATATCAAACTATAAAGCTTGCACACAGCAAAAGAAACAACCAACAGAGTGAAACAACAACCTATAGAGTGGGAGAAAATATTTACAAACTATACATCCAACAAGGGATTAATATTCAGAATATACAAGGAACTCAAGCAATTACACAGGAAGAAACAAATTAACCCAATTAAAAAATGGTTAAAGAAGCTGAATAGACATTTTTCTAAGGAAGACAAGCAAATGGGAAACAGGCACTTAAAAAAATGCTCTGCATCAGTAATCAGCAGGGAAATGCAGATTAAAACCACATTGAGATATCACCTCACCCATTTATACTGGCTTTAATGAAAATGACAAGAGAATAACAAATGCTGACAAGGATGTGGAGAGAAGGTAATGCTCTTACACTGTTGGTGGGACTCTAAGTTAGTACAACCACTATGGAAAACAGTATGGAGTTTTCTCAAACAACCATATGATCCAGCAATCCCACTTCTAGGTATATACCCAAAGGAATGGAAATCATCATGTCGAAGGGAGACCTGTATTCCCATGTTCATCGCAGCTCTATTTACAATAGCCAAGATATGGAACCAACCTAAATGTCCACCAACAGATGACTGGATAAAGAAATTGTGGTATATATACACCATGGAATACTATCATGCTGTAAAAAAAGAATGAAATTCTGCCATTTTCAGCAACATGGATGAGCTTGGAGAAAATTATGTTGAGTGAAATAAGCCAGGCACAGAGGGAAAAATATTGCATGTCCTCACTCATAAGTGGATGCTAAGAGAGAAAGAAGGAAAGAAAGAAAGAAAGACCACAGTGTTGTGTGGGACTTGCAGAGGGAGACAGCATACCTAGGGTTACAGAGTGCGGTGGGGGTGGGAGGAAGGGGTGGGATGTTGGGGATTAATTCAGTGGGGAACACTGGGAATAATCACAATTTGTGGTAATGGGGTTGCTGACAGTGTTGATCTGGCCATCATATCTTGGGCACAAGTGGTGACAGTCAGCTTTGTACCCCATTAATACATATAACCAATAAAACAAAAAAGAGAGAAGACTGCAGTATAGATGGATTAAATAACTTCTGCAAGATCTCATAGCTGGGAAGTGATGGTACTAGATACCAATTCATTCTCACTTCAGAGCTCATGCTCTTAGCCACTAAATTATACTGCCTGTATCATTAGGATTTGAGTCTATAATCCCCAAAATGACAACTTTTGTTAGAAAAGGGGATGATTTAAAATATAATAATTAAAAAAATTACTATCTGAGTATATATCTATATCTATATCTATCTATCTTCCTCCAGAAGAAGAAAAAGTTAAATTGATTTCTTACCATCTATAGACAGAATTGTTCCTTGGTATTTTCCATTAAGCATGTTATATTGTTCCATGGTAACTCTATTTCTCAAAGTGATTATGCCTGTTTTTGAGTCAACAGCTAGCAGATTGGCTGGATTATTTCCCATTACATATCTGTATTTGAAAGAAAATAATACAAATTAATGTCAGTCATCTCAAAAAAAAAGACATTTCAATTATAAATTGTATTTTTCCAGCTAGTAATTATACCCCCCCAGATATAGTTTTCAACGATTAGAGACTATTACTGTTTCCTTTTTCAGGGCAGTCCCAGCTGCATGGGGCCATTCAGAAGTAGACTAAGATTTAAATTTAAGAAAAAAAGAATTACTGAGCAGCCATTTTCAATGGAATGTCTTTCTATGCCCACTTGGATGCTTTGATGATTACAGTTCCATTTTCATTTGATTTTGGTAGCAGAAGTAACCATGAAGACCCAGATTTTAGGATTTCCTGTGCTGCTCTTAATTCTAAACTATTCTCTTACCAAAGAAGTTACCTCTTCATCAGCTTGGTGTGCACGTTCTCCCTATTTCCACTCCTCCTCCTCACATGCACAGTAATTGTACAAGACTTCTTTTAAATTCCAAAATATGTGCTTGCCTTTTTCCTCTACCCTGTTCTCTTTCTCTCCTCATCTTTGACTTCAGTGTTTTCCTCCTCATTTACATACTTGTGAAACAAACATTGGTTAGAGACCTCTCTGTCTCAGGCCTTGTGCTAATCTCAGGGAACTAACTTAGAGAGGAGATGGGTGGGGACTCACTCCTGTGGTGTACAGGAAAGTTTGTCAGCCATGGTGGCACAGTGTGATAACAGCTGTAGCAGAACTGCTCACACCATGTGAGGAGAACACAGAGGAAGAACTTTTAGAATTCACTTGTGAGGTCTTTTCCCAATGTTCCTCTTGATCACAGTCTCATGTGCAAATACATGTGCACACACACACACGGATTTTTCACAACTAAGCTAAAACATTTGGATATCTAGAGTTTTTGAAAATGGCACAAATTTTTCTTAATATAATTAATTTTTCACACCAAAGTGTATTGACCAATATTAATTAGTGATTAAATTAGAAGATATAATTGAAATGAGCTAATGAAATCTAATTGATTTCGAGCTGGGCAAATTTGCAATGGGAAAATCAGTTTTTATAGAAGATTTTGAGGGAATATTTATGGCATGTGGAAATTAGCTAATTGATCAATAAGATATATAAACACAGGAATGTCAAAACTTTTGAGGTATATTATTTTCACATATTACATCTTTACAGTTAACTATCTTACATCTTGCATAAATTTTTATATCTTCTTAAGTTAAACACAAGTAACAACTCAGTAGCTAGTACTTTTTACAGTTGAATGATGGTTTCAAAAATAATGAAAAATATTTTAATTCAGATACTTAAATTTTCTAAAAAGAACATAAATATTCAATTTCATGTGGTGAAAATTAGTTAGAAAACATCGTTCTTACCTAACAGTTGTTGAAGGTCCACCTGTGTCCTGGTCAGGGCCATTCAGAAGTAGACTAAGATTTAAATTTAAGAAAAAAAGAATTACTGAGCAGCCATTTCCAATGGAATGTCTTTCTATGCCCACTTGGATGCTTTGATGATTACAGTTCCATTTTCATTTGATTTTGGTAGCAGAAGTAACCCTGAAGACCCAGATTTTAGGATTTCCTGTGCTGCTCTTAATTCTAAACTATTCTCTTACCAAAGAAGTTACCTCTTCATCAGCTTGGTGTGCACGTTCTCCCTATTTCCACTCCTCCTCCTCACATGCACAGTAATTGTACAAGACTTCTTTTAAATTCCAAAATATGTGCTTGCCTTTTTCCTCTACCCTGTTCTCTTTCTCTCCTCATCTTTGACTTCAGTGTTTTCCTCCTCATTTACATACTTGTGAAACAAACATTGGTTAGAGACCTCTCTGTCTCAGGCCTTGTGCTAATCTCAGGGAACTAACTTAGAGAGGAGATGGGTGGGGACTCACTCCTGTGGTGTACAGGAAAGTTTGTCAGCCATGGTGGCACAGTGTGATAACAGCTGTAGCAGAACTGCTCACACCATGTGAGGAGAACACAGAGGAAGAACTTTTAGAATTCACTTGTGAGGTCTTTTCCCAATGTTCCTCTTGATCACAGTCTCATGTGCAAATACATGTGCACACACACACACGGATTTTTCACAACTAAGCTAAAACATTTGGATATCTAGAGTTTTTGAAAATGGCACAAATTTTTCTTAATATAATTAATTTTTCACACCAAAGTGTATTGACCAATATTAATTAGTGATTAAATTAGAAGATATAATTGAAATGAGCTAATGAAATCTAATTGATTTCGAGCTGGGCAAATTTGCAATGGGAAAATCAGTTTTTATAGAAGATTTTGAGGGAATATTTATGGCATGTGGAAATTAGCTAATTGATCAATAAGATATATAAACACAGGAATGTCAAAACTTTTGAGGTATATTATTTTCACATATTACATCTTTACAGTTAACTATCTTACATCTTGCATAAATTTTTATATCTTCTTAAGTTAAACACAAGTAACAACTCAGTAGCTAGTACTTTTTACAGTTGAATGATGGTTTCAAAAATAATGAAAAATATTTTAATTCAGATACTTAAATTTTCTAAAAAGAACATAAATATTCAATTTCATGTGGTGAAAATTAGTTAGAAAATGTCATTCTTACCTAACAGTTGTTGAAGGTCCATCTGTGTCCTGGTCAATAGCTACGAACTCTCCCACTTTATAATTTGCTCCCATTTTACTATTTACTACATATGTCTTTGTACCTGGACGGAACACTGGGCCTTCAATTACATTTAACACAGTCACAGAGACTGCAGTTGCTGTGAGTTTATATTGAGACATAATTGAATGATGAAATTCGGCTTTATTTCTAACACCTATACTAAGTTGCAGATTCTTCATAGCTTCATAATCTAGGGGCTAGAAAATACAGAGTGAAACAGTTTTACTATAAAAAGACAAAACATTGCAAATAAAAAAGTCATCTGAAAATAGCAAAAAAAAAAAAAAATTCTTACATTCTCTTTCCTTAATGAAATATAAATGCATGTAGGTGCATAGTCTATTCTTACTTTATTTTTATTCAAAGTAAATGTGTGCAAATATAGTTAGAAAAAACCCAATTGTCGAAGATCCATTGTTGAAAAGCTGAAAATGTATGATATGTGCTCTAATTGTCCACCAAACAAATTAAAACTTAAAGTAATGCACATGGTCAAATTCATGTATTTTGTAATGCAAAGACAATTTATGTTTGCTTTAATCATTTCATGTTTCTCAGAAAAGCAGCTCTATTTATTATAAGGTATGGGTCAATATATTGGAGGTTCAACCATTTGACTGGTTTTATCCATAAAGAAGAACTATTTAGAAGAAATTTTGCTTTTATAAATGTGATTCTTTGAATAAGTCAGGTAATAGAATGTAATATATACATGATGGAAAAATTTTTTTATTTTATTCAACATATTATAGAAAAATTCACTTTATATTATAAAATAATTATTATTTTATAAAGATAATTTCTATTATGAAAGATGATATTGATATCTACAACTCATAAAATCCACAAACAACTACGACATTATGGTCATATGTACCAAATATATTTTTCAAAATTTTCATGACAGTAATTTAGATAAAAATAGAGAATTACACATTGAGCTCTCCTAGTGAGCTAAAATTAAAATCTTTGTTTTTAATGTTGGTTTTATTTGCAATTCAAATAATGGCTATAAAATTATCTACACATATATATTACACATGCACACATGTATAATTATAACAAAGGATTTAATATATGATGTCCTGTCTGGGAGAAAAATCATTGTCCCCATTTTACAGGTAGAGATAATGATGACAAATAGATTACCTAATTTTCTAATGTAATATAGTAGTTTGGGGTGAAATAGATTAGGATCCAATTTCCCCCAAATTGTAAACTAGGTAGGATCATAGAAAGAATGTGAACTTCATAACTAGAGAAACCTGGGTTTGAATGTTGGCTGTGCCACTTAGTAGCTATGAGAACTTGAGCAGGTTACATACTCTCTCTGAGCCTCAATGTCTTTAAGTGCAATATGGGCACGATATAACCTAATTTGCAGGGATAATGTGAGGGAAAAACTAAAGCTTTTGCACACTGCTTCAAGTAAATGAAAACTATAGACATGGGAGGCAAAAGATCACAAATTCCTATGGGGACAAACTTCATCAAGAGTCTGTTTCCCAGAGCTATTCTGAAAGAAAGAAATAGTTAAAAAGTGATGACATTTTACCATGAGGAATGCATATTGCATGCATCACATACAATCCATGCACGGCTTTAGGAAATGGACTCTACAAGTCTTGTAGCACAGGGAGAAACCTTCACTATCTTTTCCCTAGGAGTCAGGCATTTTTTCTCACATCTCAGGAAATTCTACTGTAGGTAAATGTGGTGGGACACAGCAGAATATGGTTGACTTTGACCAAATCGCTAGTATATTCGTATTTCTAATAAGCCTTGGTCAGCAGCCCTAGTGAGATGGCAATATGATAATTCTACAATCACATTAACTTAATTTTAATTTTATAAAAACACACTGAAGGAATAAACAACTTTTAATTTACATGATAAATATTCTTGGTGCACAATAATTGACTTAAAATGTTGACATGATCACATTTTTTTAAAGCCCATGTTAAATCTGTGTTTAAAAAATACTCTTAAAACAACCTTAAGGATTAATCACACTTTGTTGTAAGCATAAAATAAGATTCTTATTTAAAAATGCTTTCAATTTATATGATCTGTTGGGGAGTACTGTACTGATAAAAGCAGTTTCAAGTTAAAGTTCAATGCCTATTTTCCTGAAATGATAGAAGCAGAAAGACTTCATATGAAAAAGCTGTATGTCATATATAACAACAGAACACAGTAATTTTTATTCTTTTACTGACTCAAGTTTGTAAAATGTTAACATTATTTTATTTTAACCTTATCATTTAAAAAAGAGACCAGGTAAAGAACATGTTTAGGATAGTTACACCATACCTTAATAACCTTTAAAATTCCCACATTTGTTCTTTCATTCATTTCTATGTCAAACCAATTTCCCTCATTTCCAGAGATAAAGAAAATTACTGCCATCCAGTTAGCTGAGTACTCTTCATCCAAATCAATTACTCTTATTTGGAGCAATTCTGGGTATAGAGCATTTTCGTCGATACTTATGGCATACTGAAACAAGAAGGAACAAATTTTAACACAAACTTAGTGAGAGAAGATCTATACTAGTCTCTGCTAGAATATT